GGAGTTCGTAACCTTGAGATCCTGCAGTTATTCAGACAGAAGCAAAGCCTCGAGCTGCCAGGCCTAGTTATTTACTCCCCTAATGACATTCTGAAGTGTCTCCCTCACCCTCCATCTTTGCCCCCAGTACAGGAGCAAGTGTTGTAAAGGCAGATAGTCTCTCTACTCTTGGTCCTTTCCCAACAGTGTGTGTGAAGTTGGGACTGGGGTGATGGTGGTGGTAATGAACAATCCCAAAATGCAATAAGAACTGTGAAGTAAAGAGTGTGCTATTTGGTGGACCTTGATCTGGTCAAAAGAAAAGGGAGAGGGGGGTTTGTTGAACTCGGGAGAACATCCAGGACTTTACTTGGGTAGTGTGATGCTGGAATGCAGGATTCAGAGGAAGGGAGAGAGAGATAGAGATAGATAGATAGATAGATAGATAGATAGATAGATAGATAGATAGATCCTAGCAGTGGTCAAGTCACTGGTGCCCACAGCTGAATGGAGGGTGCGTTCAGCTTGAGATCCCTTCCCTTATTCTAACAAGAGAAGGCAGTTAGAGGGTCTAATGTGATCAGATTTGCACATGGGAAGGGTCTCTCTGGTGTCATAATAAAGGATGGGTGCTTCAGAGCTGGGATAGAGTCAGGAGACAGAAGAGGTGTTGTCATATCCTAAAATCCGGTAGCCAGTAGCAATGATTCTATTTGACCTCTTAGGAGTTCTGATTCCTTTATTTGTATGCATTCAAAATTCAGGATATAGAGGGTGTATTAGCTACTTTCCTCATTGTTGTGATGAATTGATGGAGGAAGGTCATTGGCTAATAAAGGAACTGCCTTGGCCCATTTTATTGGTTAGAGGATAGGTGGGAGGAGTAAACAGAACAGAACGCTGGGAGGAAGAGGAAGTGAGCTCAGTCTCGACAGCTCTCCTCTCTGGAGCAGATGCCTGAGAGAGACGCCATGCGCCCAGCTCCCAGGCAGATGCACGCAATCTGACCCAGGATGGACATAGGCTAGAATCTTCCCGGTAAGACCGGTGCTATAGTTTATTAGAAATGGGTTGATTGGGATATCAGAATTAGCCAGTAAGGGCTAGAGCTAAAGGGCCAAGCAGTGATTAAAAGAATACAGTGTCCGTGTAATTATTTCGGGGCATAAGCTAGCCGAGCAGGCGGCTGGGGTGCCAGGGATGCAGCCCCGCCGCTCCTATTACTACAATGAATTACTCCCCCATCCCAAAATATCTAAGAGGGGAAAGATTAATTTAGAATCACATATTCAGAGAGTTTAATCCACAGTGTATTGATTGGTTCTGGGCCCATGGTGAACCCATCACCGTGGCTATGGAAACAGGTGGAGGAGGAGGTCGTTTACCTCATGAAAGACAGGACCCAGAGAAAAAGGCAAACAAGAAGATGCCAGACCAAGAAACAATCCCCAATGGCATGACCGATATTGACATTCTTCCTCCAGGCAATGCTTCATCTTTTAAAGTTTCCATAACCCTCCAAAACCTAGCATTCACAAAGAGGACATTTTAGATCCAACTACAACAGAGGGTGACTGTTAAAAGCTGTTCACATAATTGACTTCTTTCTGGAAAGATACCTTAGCCTCCATTGCTTCCTTGGCCCTACTTCAAAGAAGAGTCTTAGAATCCACACAATATGAACACACGGACAGTACTGGACTAGTCAGAGACCTGGACTCTCACCGGGGCTGTCATGACTCTCCGTTCCCTGGGTCTTATTCGGTGTCTTACAAATTGATCTTAAGAATTAAATGAGGCACATAGAAAAAGGAGCAGACAAGGACTCAGAGAACACGGTTTCTCTGAGAATACAATGCGTGCAATTCAACTAGCAAGAAGTGAAGCGTATATTGTTTCTCTGTCTGACATATAATTATAAGGACAGGAGGAGTTACAGTTAAGTTTAGTTTTTGTTTGTTTAGACAGCTCACAGGCAGACCTTCAACATTAAGAGGAATAGGCACATTAGGGTGAACAAATTTGTCCTTCATTTCTTGTTGCCTTTTATTTCCTGTTTGTTTTTTTTCTTGTCACTCCCTTTGAGAACTCTCTCACACCTCGCTGGAAGGACCCAATACTTTAGGTTCCAAACATCAGAGATTGGGGAAACCGCTAAAATTCAAGGATTTCTGGTCAGAAAAGATCCAGGTTCTGGGCAAAGTTCTCTCTGCCACCAGCTGCAGGGTGAGACAGTGGATGGAAAGATGGCCATTGGGCCTCTAGCTAAGAGTGTTTCTAAAGGGCTGGTAACTGATTCAGTGGATAAAAGTACTTGTGGCCAAACTTTACAACCTGAGTGTAATACCGGGAACCCACATGGTGGAAGAAGAGAGTGAACTCCTCCCTCCTGTAAGTCCTCTGACTTACATATTCTTCAAACACACACACACACACACACACACACACACACACACACACACACACTGTAATAAAAGTAATTTTAAAAGAATATTTCTGCATCGAAACTTTGGAGTTGAAAGCCATGTGTTGTTCACATGGAACCTATCCTACAATGATGACTGTGCTGACCGACACAGTACCCCTGGGCACTAAAAAAGAGTATCCCTGGGACAGCAAAGTCCGAGGGCAAAGAAATCCTTTTCTGGCTTGGTCGCAGTTGTAAGTTGTGATAACAACTACTGATACTCAGCCTGGAATTTGAAACTGGGTTTTAACATGTATTCAGGGGTATGGAATAGTATTTTGTTGTTTTTGCCCAATTGCCTCCCCTCTATTCCCATACATTCTATGCTTAGGATTCCACTTAGAGCATCCTGGGATTTTTCTTGTCTTAGAAAACACTCATTCTTTTCTTCTAGAGGAAGGTAAGTTGGCATCTTGGAAATTCCAAGGCCAAGTTTGTTTCCAACAACATGTAAGTTCTCTGAATGCTATTTAAGTCTGTCTTTATTGGAAGAAAGACCCCGATCAGTGCTTTTGAAAGAGACCTAACTCTCATTTGTGATGTGTCCTTATCTCAATGACCTTGGGTCCTTAGAAGATGCCTTCAAAGAGAAGACCTGTGCTCAGTTCAAAATCATGTTCAGAATACCCAAAGATGATAGATTGAAGGAGATCCCAGGGATCTAGGAGCCCAAAATCTCTCATGAATATGACTTTCACACTCATGTCTTACAGTGGCATGGAAGATTCACTCACAGGCAATGACAAAGTTCCCACTAACCCCATCGGGTGACCAGCCTGTTAGTGGGCAAAAATAACTACTTTGTGAACTTATTTTCGCAACCACAGGCTAATGCAGTCTCTTCCTCTTTAAAGAAGGCAACTTGGGTACCACAGGCTGGGGAAAGAAAACTGACCCCATTGCAATGAAAAGAAAACCCTGTTCTCATTCTTTACAATCCTGTCTCACCCTACAGCACCGGTCCTGATTCTCCCAGTAATAATTCGGCATTAGCAGCTGGCTGTGTGACCCCAGCCAATAACTACTAACAGCTATCTGGACAGTGCTTTTAAGAGAGAGCTAATTCTTACACGTGGTGTGTCTTCCTCTCCGTGAGCTCGGGTTGAGTGACAATGCCTTCAGAAAGAACGAATGGCCAGTGGCTTCTTCAATTTGAACCTGCTTTCTGGATGGCGCTTAAAACCCATTGCTATCAGCCCCATCATTTGCATGTAGGGAATGTACAGTATTTAGAGAACTATCCACAAGCCTCTCCCTGACCTGCTATCCCAAAAGGGGATAAGGGGCTTGAGGGAGGTATGACTTCCTCCCCCAGCATCCAGCTTTGGCTGCACTTTTTCTGGCTTTGCTGCTTCTCAGAGAGCCTGGGACTCTGTCTCAAGGGCCAGTTCCCCCTGAAGAGAAGACAGGCAGTGCCGTGATGGCTGCACATGTGGCAGGGCTCTCCCTGCTTGAGATCCTTCAGATATACAGAATCAGTTCTTCAATCCTGCTCCCAGCTCAACACTAAGGCAACTGGGATTTGTCCACGGAAAGGCTCTGTCCCTGCTCAAATCCTCCCAACCTACAGTGGGTGGGCATTTTAGCTTACAAAACCCCTGCACTACAGCCCAATTCTCAAATTACAAAGAGAGTAACATAAGGACCATCATCCGTATTTTCATACTCAGAGCTCCAGGGATTTGCTTAGTGTCATCCAGCTGGGACTGGAATCCAAGGCCCGTGCTTTTAGAACAGGCAGTTTCTTCCCACTAGATATAATGGGTGCTTTCCCAAGCTTCTAGGAGTCATGAAGTACACGCTGCAGGCACTACTGCAGGTGTATTCCACGTTCAAACAGAAAATCTAATAAGATAAGAGTGCATCTGTGTTTTCTCAGTCAGAAACCTGCAAATCATTCTGTTGTTGGTGCACCAGTGCTGCTCTTCACGTGCCTGGAATTGCTTTGGACTGCTTTAACACTCTGCAGTGGTCCTTTTCATCCTTGGTGCTTCAATTGGCAATGTGGTCACAGTTTTATGCTCCTTTCCCCAAACTGGGATTGCTTGGATCAAGAAGACAAGAAGTCCCTGTGAATAGGTTGTATGTCATTACTAACTTATTTTGCTAGGGCTCTGAACTCCCAGAAAAAGGTTAAAGTCGTAAAGGTTTAGACCTCACTTATGAAGCCAATAGCTAGGGGTGGGACAGACCTCCGAAAGGGGTGTATGCATGCCTTCTAGCATTGTGTACAGAACTCAGTGGTCATAGGGTTGGCACATTTTAGTTAGAGCCCAGCCTGCCTAGACTGTCAACTCTCCAAACATTTTCTCAAGAGAAAATAAAATCTAGAATTCCATATAGATATGCTGGATTTGATTCTTAAATATTAACAGCTAATTCAAGAACTTCAAAAAATCGTTATGGACCAAACAAAAACACAAGCTAAGCAAATCCAAACTATGTAAGGTTTGTGACTGTTCATCCCTCAACCACTGTTATTTATAATTCTAAACAAGCGGAGTATTAGGAGAGATGTTCCAGGACACAGAGATGTGTGCAGAAGCATCTTTATTTCTAAAATGTCTTGCTTCGTTTACATCTTTGTAAGGGGAACAGAAAGACAGAAAGAATAACAGCTAGAACTCAAGTATATACAGAACTGTCCCATGCTCCTCTTGGGTCTGAGCACTGGATCATCTGCTTTTCTTACATCTAATACTCTTCACTTTCCCTTGCTGGCTGTCTGGTAAATGAACTCTGTATGCAAAGCTCCCTGCAGGCATGCAGAGATTGCCTGCTGCAGGGAGCTCAATGCACACCCGTGTTCACCGCCTGCTATACAAGAAAGTGTACTGGAGCCTCAATAAGTGAGATGCTGAAAATATCAGAACAAACTTCAACTGGCTTTAATTTTTTAAAATAAATTCTTTTCAATCACTGATATTTATTTATGAGCCATTATTAATAACATAATTCACAGTTGTCCAAACAACAAACATAGTTAAGAGCTCTCATTTTTAACAATAAAATTAAATATAAGACCTTCTACATAGACCAGCACTCTCTGCCTCTGACATCTTCAGCTATTGCATGGTGGACTGGATCCTCCCCCCTTGAATCTTTATGGCGTCTATAATGAGGGTCTTCAGAATGGGACCAGAGTTGGACTCACAATGTAGGAAAGAAGAATGAAAAACCACTTCATCAGAACATTCCATGAGCTAGAGACCAAATGTTCTCACCAATCTAATTGGCTGCAGTGGCCTTTCTGGACTCCCACATGGATGTGGCTGATGCTCACTTGGACTCTGCCCCTCTCAATCAGGAGGAAAGGGTACCTTTTCATCTGTGCTCTTCGCCTGCAGACACTGAACTCTCTTAGTTTGGAAAAGTATACTTCTTACTGAATGGAAATAGTAGAAGTTCAAGAAGTGGGACTGGAAAGCAGCTCAGGAGGAAAGATGAGGAGGTGACTGGCAATCTGACCAGTAGGTCTCCTGGGGAAGAGGCATCTAGATCTCAGAGTCAGACTAGGACAAAATGAGAGCAGAGACAAACCTATTTTTTCCCTCTAGGTCACATAGGGAATGGATCTAACCTATTTCCACGCAATCTCCGGGGAAGATGTCTTTAAATAGCTAGCTTGTCACCGTCCTTTTCGTCATCTTCCATGATCACTCTGGGGCTCTCATCTCCAAGCAGAGTCAAACCTGCAAAACAAAATGTAGACTTGCAATTCAGAATGTCCAATTGATGTCTCAGACAGCCCTGGAGCTCCGAGACCGCTGTAGAGGTGCTCAAGAAGACACTACTCTGGATGCAAGGGGAAACAGAGGCCTAAGCCACTGTTTTGCAGTGCACGGGGATAGAAGACACAGGGATTTATGACCTACAGTTTGGGGCTTTAGTTCAGCCACTCTTTTTAATCTAAACTGGGCAAGGGCGTGTTGTATTGTCTAAATGTTCTGTTCTCATATTCATTACAAAGAAGCATCATATTAATTAATAATATATTTGTAACATGCCTATCAAAAAGTTTCTCTGTGCGTCAGTGAGATGGCTCAGGGAATAAAGGTACTTGCCACCAACCCTGACAGTCCGAGTCTGACCACCAAGTCCCGAGGAATAGGAGAGACCTACTTCCTCTAAGTTGCCCTCTGACCTCCACGGGTCCAGTGGAGAACTTGTGCTGCCTGCCACCCCCAACCCATAAATACATATTACAAAAAATTTAAAACCACATCTATGATCAGCTATGTTGACCCTTTGCGGTTTTCCATTATATATTTTCCATCATTTGCTAGTTTATATCTCCTTTTAAAGGAGTAGTAAGCCTTATGAAGTCAAACCTAAAAGCACCAGAAAAAGTGTTGATCTCTGAATGCCTGCTTCCAGCATCAGTCCTTGGATGACAGAGTCCACATGCATCAGAGCAAGGGGAAGAAATTAGAGGACAGTGCGTTTCCACACATGGTATGGCCATACCTTCAGCAATTCTTTATTTGGAAATAGAATTAAAATATTAGATGAATTGTCACGTAGACAAAATATAAAGTTAAGTTGTTCTTCCAAAGATTCCCTGGCCTGTGAAATTCAGAAGATTTAATTTATTTTTTTCTTATTTTTCTTTCTTTCTCTTTTTCTTTTTGGAGTATAATTTTTCAGGACTGATGATTTCAGAAAAGGCCAACAAAGAAGACTTGGGTGTTCCTCCCCATTCGGTGGCAGTTAGGGCCATTTTAAGAGATGACAAATGAACCCGGGCCAAGACCAGTAGTTTGGTAATTTCTGTCATTTTCCTCTAGTCCCCAGCCACGTTTCCCAACCACAGCCCTGCACAGCCTGCTTTCGTCCTTCCAGTCTACGCAGCGCTTCCCAGTGATCTGACTTTGGGGAGAGGAGCTGGGCTCTGCGTGGGGCCTTTCCACAGCATTGGCTCCCATTCAACAGCAACAAATTGATGAGACCTCTGTGCGGTTCTTAATGACTATTCACTTGATTTAACTTTTTGTTTATATTTTTAACCAGTTAGCTAGTATTTATTGGAGGAGAAAAACAATTTTAAGTTTGATTAAAGCTAAAGCATTTGCATAAATCACTTAAAAATTTTCTCTCATAACAGTGACATACAGTAAAATGTTTTATTTAGAATTAAAGCTAGTATGGCAGGAGCATGTAGAATTAGCTATGCTGATGGACTTGGGGTAATTTAAAATTTGCAAAAATACATTTAAATTCCTATGTTCAGCAGCTTTCTACTTACTTTGGATACCCTTGAAATGTAGGTATAGAAGACCTGGGCCAGAAGGTGGGAAGAAGGACCTGGGTCAGCAAGAATAGCAACAACATGCTAAATGGTAAAGGCTGGCCCTCCTGAAGTGGACCAACCTGCCCACAGAGGCACAGAACATAATCGCAAGTGCTAAATGAGCTGCCATTTTTATATCAACACATAAAACATTGGTTGAAATATTTTATAAGGGAAAGATATGGGATGTACTATGTTTGGGCTCTTAACAGGGCTCCCAGTTGCAGGGGAGGTTGGGAGGTGGTGGAGTCATCAGGATGCAAGCCTATTAGAAGGAAGTGAGATCTCTGGGGACATACCCTCAAGGGGCATTGGCACCCCACCCCCATCCCTGTCCTTCTCTTTTCTTTCCAAGCCACTACAAGGTGAAGGGCTTTGTTCCACCATACACCTAACTTTGTGATGTTCTTTCCTGCCTCAGGTTCAAGGGCAAAAAAGCCAAGCAACTGTGGACTAAAGCTTTGAAAATTTGAGTCAGATTAAAACCTCCCTCTCCTAAAGTTGGCTTTCTCAGGCGTTTTATCATCGTGTCAGAAGGATGACTAGTACTGGAGCTCAGCAGAGTCTTGGCTCTCGGGGTGTCCTGTTCAGAGAATCCACACAGGAATGGACATGTGTTACCACTCTTTCTTTGGTCCTTGCTACTTCGAGGGTTTGAGGACAGCCCAGTTTGGGAAATACTGTGTGATGTGTCTTCCTCCTGGTTTCTGTTCTCCTAAGAAGCCAGAGCTGTGTCCCCGAAGGGAGGGAGACACTAAAACCAGAGCTCTTTCCTTGGTCCTCAGGCACCACTGAGGAGCTGACTCAACTCACCCAAGTCTCAGTTTATCCAGTTGGGAAAAATACTTTGCTTTTCCTCTAGGGCTCAATGTTGCAGGAGAGACTTGGGCCTTTGATCCCCTTTTCCTTGTAATTTTTCATGTGTGTGTATACATACATGCTTTGCAATTACATATATGCCTAGAGGCAAGAACTTTATATCGGGCATCTTTTATAATTACTCTCCACTTTATATACTGAACCTGAAACACAACAATTCAGCCAGTTTAGTTAGCCAGCTTGCCTTCGACGCCCCTCATCTCTACTTCCTGAGACCTGGGCATCCAGGCAGGCTTCCATGACCCCACCCAGATGGAAAGCTGGGATCTGGAGATCTAGACTCAGGTCCTACACTTCACCCACTGGCCCATCCCCCAAGTACAGACCCACATTCTTTAATGTTCTAAGAATACCCTATGAACCTCTACTGAAAATCAGTGTACACTGCAGGAATCCTTGAGCAACATCCAACTTCCCAGCAATCCTCCACAGCCGCCACCGAGAACCAGACTTAGACATAGTGAGATCTAGCAAACTTCATTTCCTCTCTTTCTGTATAGAGCAGAATTTAGAGTTTAGAGAACTTGGCTCTTTGTAAGACGTTAGTGGGTTGGGCCAAGGTCTCTAGTCCTGGGTCTTTGTGGGGTGCCCAGCAGGCTGTTTCTGAGCAGGATCCCACCTAGACAGCATCCAAACTTAGTGATCTACATTAAGTATATTCTCCACAGACCTCAAGGTGCCCTGACAAGGAGACACCTGTTCTCATAAACCAAACTCAGGGAATCTTTCCCCAGAATAGACTTGCGCCATCTTCAAAGGAGATTCTACTCTTTTCTTTATACAAATGCCCTGTTTAGATTTCTGACCTCCAACTGTCTGACTGGTGTTCAGTATTTCCTGCTTCATTATCTTCATGTTGTTTGGCTCTTCCTGCCACCAATGTAGACTAAAGTACTTCCTCTCTTAAGCAGTGCTTGGTACCTGTTTCTGACCACTCACAACCAATGCTCCCTGCCATGCAGTTTTCACGATGGATCTCTGGCAACTGTGGGCCACGTTTAAACAAAGCTTGGGCCTGACAGGGGAGCAGTAGGTGGTCCATCCAGGCAGTTGGACTTGTCAGATACTGCTCATTAACCTAAGGGAGTGAGATGGTTTGCACAGGATTTCGAAGGCAGAACGAATCCTTGTCCAGTTTCCGCTTGCCAAGGGTTAATGAGAGATGTCTCGACGGTGTGTTTGCCTGTGAGTTGCTCTCAGTACCCTTATTGGAACCAGCATGAGTCTTTCTGAATACCTGCCAAAGGCTCCATCCTTTTCAGCTTAACAAGCTTTGCAGTTACTGCCAATTCTGTGCACACTCACAGACTCCAGAAATAAAGAACAGTAGCAACTACAGCCAGGAAAGCCAGGACTGGACAGCAAGGTCTGCCCCTGAAGGTGCTTACAGCAGACTGACTCAAAAAATTTCACAAGGTCTGCAGAGCCTTTGTATACACAGCACCTTGGAGACATTACAGTCCTTGATTGGCACTTTTGACTCAGTAGGGAGGCTGTTCTTTGGGCTACAGATAGGATGTAGGTAGCATCCATTCTCATGGGATCATAACTCAGTATTTAGAAAGGAAGGTATCAGCAGGCTTGCACAAAAGTGTAAGATTTTGTATTCAATAGAATTTTCCTTCCTTGTCTCTCTGGTACATTCCCTTCCTAGCTGGACTCCTCACTTCATTCGCCTTGGCAGGTATCAGACGATCTGTTGGTTATGTGATTATGGGCTTTCCTCTGGTGCTGATTCCCAGAAACTAAGTACTACCAGACGAACTCTCAGGAAAAGATTGAAACTAGTGTTAGTCTAGACTACTGAGTATTCTAAACTTCCCACACTATCAATATATGGGAATTATCTAAAAAGGCTACATCTAGTTAGAAATCAGAACAGCTAATTTCCAAAGCTGTGTGAGCTGAGCAAACAAGCAAGAAGGCAAGCAAGAGAGTCAGAATCTAATCGCGACTGCACTAGCTTCATTCCCCCACTCACTCCCCAACGTGTGTGTGTGTGTGTGTGTGTGTGTGTGTGAACTTCCCAGGGACATTACACGTGTGTGTGTGTATGTGTATGTGTGTGTATGTGTGTGTGTACACGCATGTGTGTGTATGCATGTGTGTGTGTGCCTGTGTGATCTGACAGGTATGAAGATGTCTATCTACACTTGGGCATCTTCTCTCTCTCTCTTCCTCCATCTCTGTCTCCTGCCTTGAAAATTTGTCCACAGAGTTGAGGAAATCATCCATCAGTCCTAACATGCCCAATCCACGTATGGTGGGGAAGCAGGAATTTCACCTTTTCTGAAGGTCCCACTGACATTTCTGTTCCCCTGGCTCAGGGAATTTGACCAGAAAAGCTGAAGCAGGAGTTATTTCTGAGTCTCCTCCACCCCCAAGTTGTCCCTGGGGAACTGCCCATGAAGGAAAACCCGGAAGGCAGCAGTAAGTGCACTCCTCCCTGGGGGGCACCTGAGTGCAGAGCAGCTTGCTGGGCCAGGACACAGGCCATGCCCCTCGTACCTCCAGATGGTGAGGCTCTTCCAATCTGCTTCCACCACTCCTGTGAATGTTCTGTAACAGATTTTTTTTTTTATTTACCTGCAACAAAGGGAGGCATGTGCAGGGCGGGTGTGTCTTTTCTCCTTGGCCTCTTCTGTTCCGTGTCGGCGTTGTGAAGAGCTGAGCCTGTTTTGCCCTTTGGAACTCTCTCTGGAACATCGTATCTTTTAATTAAGTGTTCTGGAATCACACCTGCATGGTTAGAGGAGCAGAAAGAGGAACAGGGTCAAGTGGACGGCTTCTAATGCTGAAGGGGTGTGCATCAGTACCTAGCGGGCTGGTACCTGGAGAAAGAACACAATATAGCTTTTCAAAGAAAAAGAAGTTTCCTAAAAGTCAGTGAGAATGGTTTTTATTACTGTGCGTTTTAATGCCTGGTGTTATTTTCACTGAGGAACTTGATATTGCTGCCACTGTCACCAGTCTCAGGAAAGAGAGGCAGAGGAATGCCTCTGACCTGCCACAGCTGATGCAGGGGTGGAAGCAATCTTTCACACCTAGGAGGGGTCATATCTCTGTCCTGCAAAGTTGTGGTTCATGCACATTCATCCCTATCTCTTAATCATCTCTCCACCTTTGCTGGCATTCACCCAGAGGCCTCCTCTGTCGTGTAGGAGAGACTCTGGGTAGTGGTGATTCTCCATCACGTTTCTGCACTAGCTCCTCCTATGAACGATTCCACAATTACTCCTCAGACAGAGCTTTGTGCTTTTGACCTAAGAACTTCCGTTATAATGTTACTGCTGCAAATTTCACCCAGGTAAGTACTGTTTGTTTAGTGTCCCTTAAAACATGTTGTGAGTAGAAAGGATACAGGAAGGAAAAGGCATAAAACTGCTGGAGAGTAAGCCTACCCAAAGACACACTAAAATGGTGCAGTGGAAATGTTAATTGTCACTTTGTTTTTCTGAACCTGGTGCTCATTCCAGCCTCCTCCATGATACGCTGATACCTGGGACTGGGAGGGACCCATCTCACGTGGTCCTCCTTATCCATCCCCCATCCTGATTCCACCCATGTCTACTGGATATAGGTGCTCACTGCAACTTTGGGAGCTTATGGAGACCTTATTCTTTGTGTGTTGATGATGTCACATCTCATGAGCCTGTGGCCTTGAAATTCTAAAACTCAGGAATCTCCTTGTCACCAACCTCTACTGCTACTGGGAGAAAACTTCTTCTTTGTGGTCTTCATATGCTACTCTACAATGTCAGTAGTATCATAGAATTTAACCCACATGTTTAAAGATATGGGGATCTTGGGGATGGGTACACCCTGTTGGCAGGTTCTTGCAGCTGTGCAGAGCGGTATCATGCCCCTTACCTGGTAGGAAAGGTGGGATGTGCAGTGCAGGCGTGTCTTTCCTCCTGGGTTTCTTCTGCTCTGACTCAACATTCAGAGTGGCCTGTGCATTCTTCCCCTTCCTTTGCTTCTTTTTGAGGTCACAGTCCTTAATGAACTGGTCTGAAAGGTCATCTGGTTTCAAAGAGGAAAAGGAGTAACACAAGTAAGTCTTGGGCCACAAATGGGGGGGGGGGGTGTCCCTAACCACATGTGATGTTAGGGACAGTGGCTATTTGGCCTGAAAAAGTAAAGTGTTTATTTTTATCTACTCAATGGAAGAATTGAATAAACGTGCATGTTTTTGTATATAGACTAGAAAATTAGAACTTGGTAAGGTTAAAAAAGTGCTTAACATAAAAATAAATTAAGCTGGGCCGTGGTGACACACACTTTTAATCCCAGCACTCGGGAGGCAGAGGCAGATGGATCTCTGTAAGTTTGAGGCCAACCTGGTCTACAAGAGCTAGTTCCAGGACAGGCTCCAAAGCTACAAAGTAACCCTGTCTCAAAAAACCAAAAACAAAAAAGATGTTTAATGTTTAGTTTTATTTTGTATTTGTGGATGTTTTGTCTGAATATATGTCTGTGCATGCAGTGTCTGCATAGGCCAGAAGGGGGCATCAGGATTCCCTGGAACTGGAGTTACACAGATGGTTGTAAACTGTTATATGTAGCTGGGATCTGTGCACTTAACCACTGAGCCATCTCTCCAGTCCCCTGGTAAAACTTTAAATTAAGAGAAATCAGAAAAGTCATCAAGGCAAGGACAAGCAGAAAAATGTGGTCAGGGCTGCCAGAATAGGCTTGAGCTGAATTTCTGCAGGAAAGTAGGTTCATTGTTCACAATGTCTTTCAGTCAAGAATCGCTTTCCTTAAAGGCCCACAAGCCATGGACAACAGAGGCTCCCTGGATCCTGGAACACTTCACTAGGATGGAGAATGAATCTCTTGCTTGCCTTACCTCTGAGGACTGCCTAGTGCTCTTGAAAAGCCCCACTCAGGCTTCATCATCTATAGGACTTTGTCTGCCCTGTGTCTTTATAATGTTGCCTATGCCTCCTCTTTATAATGTTGTTTCCTGACTGATCTCTTTACTTTCACAGTCCCCTTTGCCAGACCCTTTCCAGCCCAGCTTCTGTGTTATATTATCAGAGGTTCTCAACAGTGATGACTTCAGACAGATCACTAGGCTCTTGGAAGTCTTGTCGTGGCTGCATCTTAAACCAAACATTGTAGTCTGCTCTGCTCGCTTATGTATCTCTCTACCATTGTTCAAGCCCTGATCCACTGCTCTCAAGTGACTCATCTCCTGCAATCTCCTGCTCCAGACAGTCTTCAAGGTTGACTGAGATCTCAACCTTTTCCGAGTTTTGTTCTTAATTGCATCTCTCTCCAACACATGAGCTTGAAATGGAAGTTGTACTAATCTGAGTTCACATGCTTCGTCTTATTTATTGATTCTAAGAACTTGGGACTTAATTTCTAGACGTGTCGATATCATCTCCACGGCTGACGTGAGGATAATGTTAAATCCGTATGCGTGAGTTTTGCGTCGGACACATGTCACCTGTTCAGTACCCCATCTACTGTGCCGTTGCTCAGCCCGAGCTTCCTGCAGATCAGGAGGAAGCACCAGCATTGTCAGTCTTTCTTCGTTAACCCCGGCCCTGACTAGCCTTTCTCATCTTCTGAATATTGGTAACATTTTTTTTCCTCAGGTAATATTTTAAAGAATGATATCGCTATTGTTTTTGCTATGACTTTGTATTTTTAAAATCATTTCAGCAGCCTTAAATACATATTTATTCAATATGTGCTCGAATGAATAAACTCAGATGAACTTATTGTATAGAGTTCTTCTATACAAATGAATGAAGCTACAAAACAAAGAACCCGCACGTTTTCTCTAAGAGCTCCTAACCCTGGCCTGATACAGTCTGGGTATTTCTAGAAATACAAAAGAATATGGGAAATGGTGAAGTTAACACAACCTTTCAGCATGTCCCCGCCCACCTCCTCTGCTCTCTTTCCCCTTTGTTTGCGCTCCTTTCTTTTACTCCCCTCAACCCTAAGTGTTGGGGTTACAGGTGTGTATGGCTATACCCTGCTCCCACTTCCCTTCCCTTCTTTATGAGTTTCCTTGGGGAAATAGTCAGATAGGCTTCTTTAAAATGTTGAAGATGAACTATGTGAACATTTCACTTGATTTTTATGAGTCCAGATGGACCCGGTGCCACTTGTTATTCTATTCAGACAACATTTCTTAACCTCCTAGTATCTGTCAGGCCATTTATTAGATTCTAGGGATAAAATGGTTAGATTGTTACTGCCTTTGACTAGCTTACCATGTACTGGAAAGGTCTTTCCTGGTCCATATGTTTGAGGGAGTTATACTAGAAATATTTAGTAGCCATACACCTTTGTGCTTGAATACAACCATTACTATAAATAAATAGAACAAAGACCAGATGGCATGGTCCCCTTTGGTGACACTGAACAGTAAGCTTTCCCTTTGCCTGGAAGACTTTGATGACGTTACCAACAGTCTCAATCAAATAACACATATCAAGGCTATCCTCTTTGAGGGCCCTGGACTGTGTGACATTCGCGTGCATAAGAAAAGGAGGTATGGGAAGATTTTACTGACTGGGTGCAGCTTCTCCATGCCTACTGTTCAACATTCATTCCATTCCTGAACAAATTATCTCATTTAATCCCCACACTAAGCCTACAGTTATTCTATCCAGTTGGCAGATGCGGCCAAGTTATTGATAAGGATCAAGCTAGGCTCTTGGAGCTATTTCTCAGCTATATAGTCTATATGGTTGACACCCTCATTCTTCAAAGTTGTTACCACACAGTGTCTTCCCCCTTCCCTGTGTTATACACACTATAGGTATTGATTGAATGATGTTTCTCAGGGTGGGTGCTGCCCTGCTGTGAGTTCTCTGGGGGCATAGTTTGCAAATGAATCTGCCAGGGGTGAGCTGCCATCCAAACCCAAGGTGCCTAGTATGAAAAGCAAGACATTTGTTTTAATTTTGCCTTTCATTTCAATTGTGATTTTCCTTATTTTTGGAGGAATTCTGAACATAAAATATCTTGAAGGCAATCGAGGAGAGGGGAGCTGAGACGAGTCATAACCAGACGAGGCATTAACAAAGGCTATGAATATGCAAAAGGCCCATCCATCAAAAGTCTGAGTGTCTCATTTTTAGAAATGGGTAGAGGCAGAAATGTCTCTGGTGTTTTCATTACAAAGGTTATGCAAAAAGTCAGTTCTGGAAAGGAAACAGATTGACAATAAAGCAAAAAGGGCTATTTAAAATTCTGTCTTGATAGGCAAAGAGAGATATTTGAAATATTTTATTGGCGCTGCACATGGGGTTTAAGTGTGCTGGAAAATACTGGAAACAAGCTATATTGCCATATTCCATTTATTGCCTCAAAAACGCTCTGCCCGGGATTGTCACATCCAAAACACAGGACAATGCTTCTCTGCCTCTCACTGTCTCTCTCTAATGAGAATGAACTTTCCCCCAGTACTTCAGCTAATATTTACACTGCGGACCCCACAGACACGTGGCTATTTGCCTGTCCATCTGGTGTAGGCTGCCACCAGAAGGCACAGGCGATCAGGTTTCAGGGGGGCCCTTCTCTCTGACTTGCCTGAAGGCAGGATGGCCAAGAACCCTTTCCTGGCTTATAGGACAGGTATTCCCAAAGGAGCGTTTACCTGAGAGGCTGCAGTGAGGATCGAACTTGTCCAGTATGTCTTCTGAAAGCTCCAGAGGTGAAACTGGCTCAGTGGACACCATCTCAGTGGACATCCTCAGTGGGGCGGGGGAGGGAGAGAGAGAGAGAGTCCTTTCCAGCACTGGTGAAATTAAAGGCCGTCATAAGCACGTAAGTACGCCTTCTGTTCATTCATTCACTCATTCATTCAATAAACAGATTAAATGCTGAGTGATTATTATTGTAGGAGCCAGCTCAATCCTATTTTTTCAAGTCCGCTTCTTAGAGTTAATTGCTAAATTTGAAATGTAAACCAAAATCAAATGAAACACACACACACCTAGACACACACAAAGTCTCTCTCCCTATGAGAACACACACACACACCTAGACACACACAAAGTCTCTCTCCCTATGAGAACACTTGCTCTATATCAAATGTTCATTGTTTGTCTACTTAAGGGTTGCAGAATCGAATCAAGTTCAAATTAGAAATGAGTTGGGCTAAAGAGTTAAAGAAAACATCAGCCACACACCGTGTGTATTTTATGTGCGGAGTTCTGTAGGCTATGATTGTATTCATATAACAGATGAGGAATGGGAGCACACCAGTTCACAATTAATTTAGCCATCACATGTCTTAGTTAAGCTTAGATCAAAATCTAGTTCCTGTAAATTTTAGGCACTTTAGCCTCTTAAAAATATGGCAAATCCTCTGAACCCAGGGTAGAAAAAGGCTCTTGGGTCCTCACCACTGTAACTTATAAAATAACTCATCTGTTTCCTCATGCAGTCTATCAGGACAGTAGGAACCCAGAGAGGGAAAGCCTGTTCTCTGTGAATATTTCTATTTGATTCCTAGGGATTCCTGACATTAAAGCCGGTCTCTTCCTGTCCCCAGATTCCTGCCTTTCCTGGAACACAAACCCATGGACTTTCCCTGGGACCAGTTACAGGCTCCTTCAGGAGGAGTGAAATTCTGCATTGATAACGTGTCAAGTCTGGACGAGAAATGCATTAGCTGAGGTTTCAAGAACGTCTTCATTAGGGCCTGTTTCTTGTGTTGCCGTCGGATAATTTATTGGTGGTGTTCAGAATAACAAGGGTAGAGTCAGGGGGAGAAATGAGCACTGTTAAAAGGAGTGAGCTGATCTTCTCGTGAGAGTCCAGAGCCTGTAACGCGCAGAAGAACCACAGATCATTCACAATGACAGTTGGAGCCCAGGCTGAATTAACTCCTTCGCCTTTGAAGACTAAGCTGCTGTTCCCTGGGAAGGCTGAGGGATCCTCCCCCACGAGCTGAGGTCACTGCCGAGCAGATGGGCCATTAGCTGATCACTTGAGGCCGGCTTTTAGTGTCACTCCTAGCAGACTGTGTGAGTGACTTCAGCAGAAATCAATTCAGACCATTGTTCTTAGTGTCTGGGCAGAGACTGCCAACTCCCTGGACCCACAAGGAAGTGTGTTGTAACTTTCCCTAGGCTGTCCCTTTGTGCCGGCATTTTTAGAAGGGAATTGTTACCCAGGAAGAGTGGGCTCTATGCTGAGGGCTCCAGGAAATGTGACAGACTCGACGACGTGGTTATGTTTAATGAAACCTCTTCTTTCTGAATTGTCACAGGTGTGCCGATAATCACCCCTCGGTGATCTGCTGAGCGGAGCCATCCTCAGAACAAACTTGAGTTGAGAGAGTTTAGACTGACCGACCATTACTCACGCGCTCTCAAGCAGAATCACTGCAGAGACTCAGGCCCTTACCATACACACTTGTCAGACATGTCCGCGATACTCTCCGTCTCCTCTCCAACTGAAACAAATTGCTCCTTGTACTGGGTATTCATTTCCTTTGAGTCCAGCAGTTGGTGATTTACTTTGAACCTATGCTTTTAAATCCTGCAGACTTGAAGTAATAATACCCTTCCCGTAGGGGTCCTGGGAAGGTGGGTTGGATTGTCTAGTCTTCAACACATAGGGCATTTTCTATAGATAGCGACTCTTCAACACATAGAGAGTATTTTCTATACATAGCGACCATTGTCTATGACAGTTGATGGGAACCAGCTGCATAACTGAAAACACCCAAAGAAACAATAGAAACTTTCACTTTCATGTAGGTGTTGAGCTGGGGAGAACCTACCGCCATCTGAGATAGTGGTCCATTGGGAGTGGACCACTAAAGGAAGGGTCTACCCATGGCTGGACAGGCTGGGGCAGCCAATAGTTCCTCAGAAATCCGACAAGGGCTCCTTTCAAAGACAACTCACATTTCTTTGTCTAGAGAGGAAGCAATTCTAGTTTAAACTGGTGTGACTGAAATCCAGCTGGGGTGGACTACTGTTTGCTAGATAGGAGGGGTTGGGGGACCATTTTCAGGTCTGGGGTTTGATGTTACAACAATATCAGAGGTAGTTGGCAGAGGAATATAAGACATTTTAATCTTGGATGATGTCATTAAAACTGTCCTGTCAGGAAATTCAAAGGAACTGAAAAATTTCTAAGAAGGATGGGGAAATATCTGATTCGGGGTTGTCTCACTGTTGGAGGTCACTTATTGCAGCCTGTTGAGTGTTGGATGAGATAAACCCAGCTCCCTCCCTGCTCTCCACTCCCATTCTCAGAGGAAAAGAAGCTACCTGCTGTGATAAGATGCAGGTGTGTCTCATGTCTGCTCCCCACACTGCCCAAGCATTCCCCCCACCTTCAGCTTCATCCCTGTCCCAAATAGGTTGTCACGGAGGACTCTGCACTTGTCATGATGCACAGGGAAGGTATCATTGGCTCCCTTTCCTGCTCTCTGTAATTTTGGGGGTTTCTGGGGAACCAGTTATTTTTCTTCAAATCTAAATAATTGGTCCTCTGGGTCCTTAAACTCCAACCCCAATGCTAAGGCCTTCAGAGGCACTTTTTCAAAGCGACTTTACACTAGGGTGTTCCATTTTCAGTCAAGTGATTTGAGACTCCTGTGCCATTTCTTGTCTCATGCTGCCTCAGCAGGGCCTCTGAATTCTCAGGTTCACTCAGTGCTGAGTGGCAGGATAGGCCCTTCCACCCTCACCTGAGGCCAAATGTTCTATGGAAACCAGGGCATTTTCATTACATAAGGTTCCCAGAAGGGCCTTGGGGAGCCCCAGCAATCTCGTGCATTTTTTCTACAGCCAAATGCAAGGATCCGCATTAAAGGGTGCAAGGACAGACTCCACAGAGATGCATATCCGTTTAGGTCAAGTTCTGCGGCTAAATGAGTCTGTGGGGAACTATGTAACAGCAGCGCCATCCTTTGTCCTTCCTGATTTTCAATTTTCAGATGTCTCAGAGAATAAAAGACTGATTATCTGATGTGTGTTGTTGTTGGTTATTGGAAAGAACGTGGGTGGCCCATGGGAAATGTGTGCTAGACCAAAAGACGTAACTTCTGTTTCTTGGGGAGATTTCCAGGAGATCATGCCCTAAAATCTTTCATCGTTCTTCTCTTTTCCTAAGGAACCTAGTGTTTCTTTTTATTGGGATACCTGCAAACACAAATCCCACTGGTAGAGAAGACCCATAAACAGTCCTCACACTACACAGCCGGTGCTGATGACACCAGTCTCTCAATCTTTTGAGACTAGAATCAGAGGGCCGAGGAGCTAGGCACTGGGGAGCAAATCTCCTTATGTTGCAGAAGATCCAGAGGACCAGTGTGTGCCAGGATAGCTCTAAAAACTCAGATGCACACTCTACTGTGGCTAGAGATCTCTCAATCTTTTGAGACTAGAATCAGAGGGCCGAGGAGCTAGGCACTGGGGAGCAAATCTCCTTATGTTGCAGAAGATCCAGAGGACCAGTGTGTGCCAGGATAGCTCTGAAAACTCAGATACACACTCTACTGTGGCTAGAGATCTCTCAATCTTTTGAGACTAGAATCAGAGGGCCGAGGAGCTAGGCACTGGGGAGCAAATCTCCTTATGTTGCAGAAGATCCAGAGGACCAGTGTGTGCCAGGATAGCTCTGAAAGCTCAGATGCACACTTTACTGTGGCTAGAGATCTCTCAATCTTTTGAGACTAGAATCAGAGGGCCGAGGAGCTAGGCACTGGGGAGCATAACTCGTTACGTTGCGGAAGATCCGGAGGACCAGTGTGTGCCAGGAGAGCTCTGAAAACTCAGATGCACACTTTACTGCCAGTCTTCACTACCCCAGGCTACTTTCAAGGGGACAGTTGTGTTGCCTCTGCAGCTCAGCTTGAAGTCACAAGCTGACCCGGGGTATTTTGTTCCTTAAGAGTGTAAGGATGTCTGTTATAATCCACAGGCAGAAAATGTCCAGAGGTGACACACTGTGAGGCAGGCAGCTCTAAGCAGAAACCAAGTCTTGGTTATTTTCTCTACTCTCTAGCTGGGCTGCGAGGTATTATTATGCTAAGTTAGCCTTCACACCTGTGCACTTGTTCCTAGTCAAGAGGCCAAAAAGTGGTAGATTTTACATCTGAAACGGGGCATGCCAAATGCTGTTTGCTAGGGCTGCTGAGAGTGCCAGGGCCCAGCCAGAAGCCTGGCACACACTGATCCTTCTGTGAGTAGATGCCTTCTTTGCTCACTTAGTCCCTGGGATTATAATACCTATATATAAATTACTCAAAATTGTCTTATCAATCTCACCCTAGTTCCGGCCTTTCTAAAGCTGCTAATGCACACCCAAAGTCATAAACCAAAGGCAGAACACCCCTTTCTTTCCAGGCCTCAGGATCAACACAAGCAAGTCTCAGAGGTAGGTGGGTACTCCCTTATTATATTATATTATATTAGCCATATAATATTCTAGAGGACATCCCCGAACAATTAGGTTTAGCTTGACTTGATGTAATAAAAGCTTCGGAAACATTATATCCACAGTCCAGCGTAAATCTGGTTAGCCTTCCCTCTGACCTTGCACAGTTCTTATCTTTGTCAACCTCTTCTATCTAAGGTCTGAGCTCCTGCCCCAGACCACATATGCAAAGAGAATGCCTTCATGTGGAAGACCTAAGCCCGCACGCAGTCTTTCTTCCTCAAGGAGACTGTGCCGTAAAGTAGGATGTGAGGAGGAACCGAGACAAGCACCCTTTGCCCTAATGGGCAAGGCCACGCCATGCTCAGCTCCAAACTTCACAGAAGGTCCCTTTCTGGAGGATGCAGACTGTCAGAGAACTCAGTACCCTCGCAGTCCCCCCCCCCCAAAAAAAAACAAAACCAGTAATGACAATTGTGACTTTGTCTGGCCCACGGAGCCCCTGCTTAGCCTAAACACTCTGCTTTGTCCCAGCAAGCCCAAGGAAGCAGTAAGATACTGGAAGCTTGCTTTTTTTTTTTTTATCACAGAAGTTTCTGGGGTAAAAATTTGAAGCACTTACCAATCAGTGCAGGTGCTTAGCGGAGAAGGCAGAGGCTAGAGTCCTGTGCTTCTCACCGGCTGGGCTCTTACTTCTCACTGGCTGCGGCTGCCCTGCTCCAGCTCCTCTTATCTAGGGACCAGCTGCTGTGGTTGCCATGGGGATGTTCTGTTTCTCAGGCACTGGGGCCAGGGGGATGGAGAGGGAATGATAACTAACTTGGTCACTCCTGCTCTCTGCAGCAACGATTGCATGTTATAAACAACAGCACACGGAGGGAGTCTATGCTGAGTTCTTAAGAATCTACACAAGCCTGGGAATCCTCCTAACAATTCGGCAGTAGGTTTAAAATCCTTCCTTCAGGGGTGGGATTGCCTGGCATTGCAAAAGTGGAAACTGAGGCACAGAGTTTAGCAGCTTGCCATTGAGGGGCAAATGGGTGTCCGTTGAGTCCAGAGCACAGGGTCACAATGAGGAAAGGGCTAATGGTGGTGTCACTCACTAACATTTACAGATGGTTAACACTTGCAAATCCCGCTAGCCCTACAGCCTTAGTAATCCTCATCCTAACAGCAGAGTGAAACAGAGAGGTCAGACCATCACCACGAGTTTATCAAAGCTTTACAGATCTGCTCAGGCCAAACAGCAAGGGGAGGGTTCAAATCCAGCAATGGAAGCTAAGTCCCTGTTCTTGGTCACTCTATCCTACTACTTACCAAAGAACATTTCAAAAAGCTCAAAGCAAAAGAGAGAAGTCTCTGACCATACAAGAAGCCAAACGAAACGAAACAACAACAACAACAAAACCTTGCATTCTTTTAAAGGAATCAAACAAGATGTTCCAAAGTCAAAAAAAACACATGTAGACCCAAGTAAGACAAGCTTGTAGACAAGCTTGGGCCCAAGTAAGCCGGTAAGACACGCTGGCCTGTGGAGAGTACAGCTCTATATTCTGGGTCAGCTCAAATACTAGGTCAGTATTTCTTTAAAAAAACAAACAAAAAAACAAACAAACAAAAAAACAAAAAGAAACGTTCCTGTGAAAAGATGGAAGTCTTTAACCCCAGCACTCAGCTGCAGAGGCAGATGGCTTTCTCTGAGTTCAAGGCCAGGCTGGACTCACTTGAGAGTGAGTTCCAGGACAGACAGCTAGGGCTACACAGTGAAAACCTGTCTTCAAAACCAAATAAAACAAGCAAGCAAGCAAACAAACAAACAAAACAAAAAAGAGGCTTCCAAAGGATCACTTGGGAAGGAAGGTCCTCAGTCCTCACCGGGAGGGACAGTGACTGGAAATAGTCCCCCTGCTTCCAGCTGCCTGACGCCTCACCAACAGCCTTGGTGGCTGCCCTATTAGCAGAATCTTCATTCCAGACCTAACCGGAAAGGATTACTTTCTTCCAAAATGCTGAAGTTTTCACTTCAAGTATGTTTTTGAGGTAACTGTAAATTAACACACAACCTCAGGAAATAATTCAGGAGCAACCCCTGTAATTCCCAGGCAGCACCCGCAATGGAAGCACCTTGAGGACCTAGAGCCGTGCCAGAGCTACCACAAGTGTTGACGTCATCATACTCAGGACACTTGTGACATCACATGGCTCCCTGATCAGGCATGTGCCTAGGGGGACCTCCCTCTTGCTCACCACCGTGTTCTGTGTTTCTGTGAATTTGTCTTCTCAGCACTGTGAGAAGCATGGAGTCCTGCAGGAGAAGGCTTTGGCTTGGCCTTTCTCTTTCTGCGTATTCTCTGAAGGTTCTTCACTGCCTGCACCAGTAACTCCTTCCATTTTATTCTGGAATAATATTCTGGGGTACCAGTGTGCATAAGCATTCACCTTCTGAAGAACAACTGGGTTGTCCCCAACGCTTGGCTATTACAAATGATGGTGCTCTGAACATTTGTATAGAGGCTTTTGTGTGAACAAAAATCTCTTGTTTCTCTTGGATAGGTGCCCAGAAGTACAATTTCTGGCAATCAAATGTTTAATGTTATGATACCATACAGCAGCTGTACTGTTTCCCAGCCGCACTAGCGGAGTGTGAATACCCGGGTCTCTTATCTTCAGTACTCTTCTGTATTGGCACAACTTCCTAGGCACTATGCTCATGATGTCGTGATAACTCATTGTGATTTTGATTTGCATCAAACAGTCCTGTGATATCAAATGTTTTTTATGTGCTCATTTGTCACATATAAATTTTCCATGAGAAATGTCTCACTGATTCTTTTCTCATTTTCTAATTGGATTGTGGTTTTTTTTATTGTTGAATTTTCAAAATTCTTTACATATTCTAGATACTAATCCTTAATTAGAAATTTAACTCGCAAGTATTTGCTCCTAATTTGTGCTTATCTTTTTAACCTCTTAGTTGAGTCCCTCACAAAGGAAAGGTTCTTAAAAGTTTAGACTCAAATTTATCACTAAAATCCATGGGTAACTGAGATTTTACCGAGACTCCTCAGAAATGAAATACTTGATTGTAAGACATTCTAGCCTGTGGAGTTTTTATAAACTTCTTAGTCATTTAATTTCCCACAGTTCAAAGGAATTATCTTCAAAGCGTATGGATTCCTACATCTTTTTGCATAGGCACATGCTCTCCCAAGTTCAGGGTGCTGCTGCTGTGGCCTCCCCCATGCTCTTGCACACATTCAACACACCTTCCAACTGATCATGTCCCTCCCCCATGCTCAGCATAGACGAAAATTGCAACTGAGATGGCAGATGGTAATGCAGATGTATGCCTTGGAGAGCTTTAAATAACAACCACACGTGCACTGGTGAAATCACCGACCCATGGCCCTAGGCCCCAGAGAAAGCACAAGAGGTTACAGTATCTGCAGAATTATCTGCAGTGTGCAAACGCCTCGAAGAAATGGCCGAGGCTTCTGCTTTCTTGTTGCTGGATGACCAATGCTAACTGATCTTGAAATAAACACATTTTCATTTTTGTTACAAATATTGAATCTGTATGAATGAGATTGATCTTAGAAATGCACATCTCCAAACTATGTATTTCAGTTAATAACTTCAAATATTTATTTCAAATAATAACTTCAGATAAGGGCTTTTCAAATATTTACTGTTCAAAATCAATCTACCAGAGTTTCTATGCGGATGGCTGGTGATAGGGAGAGAGAGAGAGAGAGAGAGAGAGAGAGAGAGAGAGAGAGAATCTTGCTTGTCTGCATCCACCTCCAAGGGAGGGAATGTCTGCCTCGTATCAATGCCTTCTGGTAAACAGCGGTCTGTGCCTCTGCTTTGGATACATCCTCCTTGAATACACTTTGGCTCCTGATAATGGGGGGGGGGCATTTGAGTTAAGACCAAGAAAATCTGGTATCTAACGAATTCCTTGCAATAAAAACACATAATTTACTAAATCTTTAAAATCGTCTTTCCTTTCAGTTAGGGTTGTTGTGAAGAACCAACGGAGGCAGAGCCTTTGTCTGCCGCACTAATTTCCCCTCACTGGTGACATTGTGTCCCACCAGTGCTGGTCCCGGTGCAGGTCCTCGCATCTGAAGGGGGACATTGATATCAGCCCAACTGCCTTCTCCTTTCCGTTTCCCACTATGTCTTTTGCACACAGTGCATCAAGTTCTATGCTTTTATCAACCAGACAGGCTTATGTATGCGCCAGTACAGTGTGGGATCCGGTGACTGCCATGGTGCCAGTGTCCCTCCTGCTGGTCTTTTAGGGGTACAGCACCTCTATCATCCCTCACCCCCCATAGCAGTCTGCGCAGCCTCTGATCTGTCCTCTGATGCACACGTCACCAAATGTGCCCTGACCTGATGACGTTTTATGAAGTTTTCACTCCATTACCTCACTATTTTCTCGTTTCTGCTCATCACACCCCATGAAGTACAAGCTTTCATATCCGGTTACAAGCATAAAACCTGTCTTGAGACAAAGGTCCTGGCCAAGACACATAGCTACTAGGAGCAAGAGGGTGGCTAGAAACCAGGTAGGTATCTCTTCTCTGGAGTCCGTGTCATCCTATGTCTCACGCGGTGAAGAGACTGACACTTCCCGTGTGTCACACACCTGTGGTGTCCTCATGCTTCTGCTCTTTCGCTCCCATACATTGTAGAAAGGAATCTAGCCCATCGTTGGTTCATTCACAAAAACACGCTCTCAAAGCTACACATCTGGGGTCTTTATAAAAGAGTGTTCACTGCTCAGGAGAGCAACAGCTTTCCCTCCGTCGCTAACCCGAAGATGTGCTTGAGTATCCATTCTGTCACAGCTTCCCAGGTGTGCAATAGATATAGGTACTGAAGGTAAGATGCCTGCTGACCATGCACTGACCAGTGCAGCCCCATTCAAGTCGTGAGGGTTATCCTGGCCACTGCTGACCTTCACAACACCCAAGAAAGTGTAAGACTGGGGGGAATGATTTTTTTTTTGTTTTTGCTCACTTCTTTCTCAATGTACTATTCTAATTTCCAAGTGTAACTTGTCCAGATTTTGAGAAAGCTTTACTACAGAGACAATGAAAGAAAGGAAGCAAACCCAATCCCTACTGTGTGCCAGTGCCTATCAAATGTTTCGTAAATGTTCTTTCAGGCTGCCTTGTTGGAGGAAACCGGAGAGGGGATTGATGTCAGCCGGCAGATGGTGAGAGCAGCAAGCACAACACATGGCTTCTGTGGGCTTCTGATGCAGAGGGAGTGAGTACATATATTCTCCCAAAGGGCACATAGAATTTTTAGGCACCTACAATGCACTTGAAAGCTTTTTTGTGCACAGAGAAAGAAGGAGCATTTAGAAATGTAGGATGGCCGCGCTTGCATTGTGCTACCAAATATTACTAATTAATCTCATGACCTCCCCATGAACACGAGGAAAAGTGTTTAGAAAGATTTTCACAATGTGGATAAAAACCTTTTTAAATTTTAAGAGTTTTGCCTCTTTGGTTTCAACTGCATGAAACTGACACCCAATGTGGGGATGTATAAAAGCAAATTCTAAGCCCAGCATGTATTTTCAATGGCAGCTATAACTTTTGCACTTGGTTTGAAGAAAAGCGTGTGTCTCCTCTTGCCACACCCATGAAGCCCAGGGAAGCTCTCATGCATTTGCTGGTG